TTATAGGTCGTATGGATTCAGACATTTCATATTCAATAAGTTTTATCTGCTTAACCATTTAGGCTCAATTATGCCAGTAGCTACCTGAATTCTCTATTAAGGTCTTTTTCTCTCTTACATGCCAGTAGATAAATGAAACCATTAAACTATTGTTTTAGCACCTGGTTATTTAGTGCTTTCTCTACTTTAACCAATATATTCATTTGTGTATTTTTATATTTGTTATCTTGAATGTCTTATTGGAACAAGTATTATCTAAAAGAAGAATAAGTGTGTCATCGATAAAAAAAAATAATGTTAATGAATATAATGGTAGAATAATGTGTTCCTCGATTGTACTTTCTTTAAAATATTTTATGAAAAAACTTATAACTAGTATATAAAGAGGCTATAATCCATTCCCATATTTTTATTACTTAACTAGATGGGATGGGCCTTACTAGAAATATGTAACGAACATGACCGTTTAGTACTTAAGCAGATGTTAGGGGAATTCTTTCAAAGTGTTATTTTATGATCAAAACTCTGTGTGTTTTACGGTTTTTATTAGGTTTGTAGTGTTGATATTCTTATTTTAATAGGCTTGGTAGCTACCTCGAACCATGGTATGCAGTCTAAAGTGGCACAAAATTACATATAATATTCATATCACTTTCTTCCGTAAAAGGGAAAAATGTGAAGGAGGAAGCTAATTACTTTTCTGTTAAGACTATGATATTAGGGTTATTTGTGTTACGGGCTTGGGCTCTAGAATAAATGTGTGGAATCTAGAATTAGGGCATAGGCCCGTGCACTTTTAAAGTTACTTTCACATTTATAATTTTTATGCTAAGGCACAACACCAAAAATATGAGACGTGTAAAAGTGAAAAGCATATGGGTACATTAGAAGAAATATTAAATTACTTATAATTTTACTCGTCGTGCTATCGTTGTCACTATTATTATTAAGTACAAAATATCTAGTAATCGTTAAATAAAAGGGTGAATGTGAGGGTGTTATATGGATCCTTTTTAACTTTTACACGTTGCCACGTCCTTGATAAACATCAAAAACAACATTTCATATATCTCTTTTTCTTTTTCTACACTTTACCCTCATATTGTTGATTTCATTTGAAAGTTTAAAAAAGTTAAAATCTTGTTATTAACTTTGGAATTGAAGTCATGTATGTACGTGTGTTGTTATAAATAATGGATTTAAAAATAATATTGAATATCCAAACAAATACAGTGTAAAGAAAAAAAGATGAAAATAAAAAATAAGAAAAGAAAAGGTTTTCAAACATAAATTTTCTTATCATATACTAAAAAAGCAATACTAATGTCATTAGGAGAGATTTGGTATAAAATAGACTAGGGATGCCTTCGTTTATATTTTCTATATTTCGATGGACCAACCTTAGGCTCTCCCTTCCTTTTTGTAATGCTTCGTATTCCAATATATGAGACTTTACTCAAAATAAAATATATAACTAAAATAAAGGACAAGTCATTGTCAATGTGTTACTTTAGTTGTAAGATCTTTGTCTTGTAACCTCGAGGTACAAAGTTTAACTTCATCAGACAAAATTTTAAATTAACCATTAAAATTAATTTAATAGATAAAAACTATTTTTTAATAGTATTAGAAGAAAAAAATTTAACATGATATTATATCTAAATAATAATTAAACAACTAATTAAATTATATTTGTTGAGTGTATTTAGTCTAATTATTTTAAATTTATTATTTTATATAGATCAAAAAACTTACTATTGTGATTTGTTCCATATAAATTAAATTTTATTTTTTTCTAATATATAAAACTTAATTAGTTAATATGGTCAAAATTGAGTCTCATCTTATGTACCTATAAATAATAGACATGTGTAAATCCTAATATGTTATTTATACAAGATGGCTACTGTAAAGATTTCTCCTCACATAATAATATAATTACTCACTTTCTGCATCTTCGCATCAGGTTTAAAACCTATGAGAAATTTATAAATAAAAAAAAACACCTTTTCTATATGTTGTAATCTTTAGATACAAATTTGATAAAATATTTTCAAACATTGTTTGTATATGCAGATATGTGCATGAAATCAAAAGTAGCTTGTAATGGAGATGTACATTGTCAAGTTGGATGTCATGGAAAACAAGGACAATGTATTCGAGAAAGATGTTGGTGTATTTGTTCTAAATCATTAGATGAAATTACTCCAAAATTAATATCTTCAATTGCAAACTGAGTAAAAGATATTGTAATAGAATCATCGTTTTTGAATAAAAATAATTTCAAAAAATAAAATTTATGATATAAATGGATATACGTTGAAACCTTTTTAAATAAAAGATCTAGCTAAATTCTTAAATTTTGTCTATCTTGGGAGATACATATATCACTATAAAAAAAAAATTTACAATTTTAATTTATATGACTTTTCTATTTTATTAATAATCATTATTATTATTAATTTATGAATTTTAGTAATTTATTATATATTAATAAAAAGGTGTATTACATTTAAATTTTGAATATAAATAGTATGAATTGTATCTTAGGAAATCAGTCCAATTTTCAAAAGACCTAAGATAAATCTATTACTTCATTTTTAAGACTAAAAGACTTATAAAATAACCAGTATGATGATTTAATACACTAGTAAAATGTAATATATACATTTAACGAAAAGTTTTTAATAATTAGTACTTGACTAGGTTTTTTCATCTTTTCCTAGTTTTTAATGTTTAAGGTGACAATAGAGATCATCTAGCAGTTTAGGTTTATTTGTTTCATTGACTTTTATGTTAGGACAACTATCTCTTTGATATGATTAAAGAAAATGGTAAGGTATGATATACATAAATTGTAAAACAATCGATCTTAAAAATAAATTTGAGTACGCAAGTTCACTAACAAAGAATTCAAATAATATATGTTTATAAATATTTTGGGTACGCAAGTTCACTAATTTTGTAAGAAATCAATTTTTACATTTACATCGTTAACAACATATTGTAAGAAAATCTACTTATCATATGTTTTAGTGCCCGTCGTGTCAAATTTAACTGATATTTTTTATAGGTCGTATGGATTCAGACATTTCATATTCAATAAGTTTTATCTGCTTAACCGGCTCAATTATGCTAGTAGCTACTTGAATTCTCTATTACGCTCTTTTTCTCACTTACATGCCAGTAGATAAATGAAACCATTAAACTATTGTTTTAGCACCTGGTTATTTAGTGTTTTCTCTACTTTAACCAATATATTCATTTTTGTGTTTTTACCTTTGTTATCTTAATTTTTTTATTGGAACAAATATTATCTAAAAGAAGAATAAGTGAGTCATCGATAAAAAAATAATGTTAATGAATATAATGGTAGAATAACATGTTCTTCGATTGTACTTTCTTTAAAATTGTTTATGAATAAACTTATAACTAGTATATAAAGAGGCTATAATCCATTTCCATATTTATATTACTTAACTAGTTGGGATGAGCCTTACTAGAAGTATGCAACGAACAAGACCGTTTAGTACTTACGCAGGTGTTGAGGGAATTCTTCCAAAGTGTTGTTTTATGATCAAAACTCTATGTATTTTACGATTTTTATTAGGTTTGAGTGTTGATCCTCTTATTTTAATAGGCATGGTAGCTACCTCGAACCTGGTTAGGGAGTCTAAAGTGGCACAATAATACATATAATATTCATATCACTTCCTTCCGTAAAAGGGAAAATGTGAAGGAGGAAGCTGATTACTTTTCTGTGTTATGACTATGATATTAGGGTTATTTGTGTTCGCAGGCTTGGGCTCTAGAATAAAGGTGTGTAATCAGGGATTAAGGCATAGGCTCGTGCACTTTTAAATTTACTTTCAAATTCATAATTTTTATGCTAAGGCACAAATCCAAAAATATGAGACGTGTAAAACTGAAAAGCATAACGCTACATTAGAAGAAATGTTAAATTACTTATAATTTTACTAGTCGTGATATAGTTGTCACTATTATTATTAAGTAGAAATAATATAGTAATCGTTAAATTGAGGGTGAATGTGAGGATGTTATATGGATCCTTTTTAACTTTTGCCCGTTGCCACATCATTGATAAACATCAAATACAACCTTTCATATATCTTTTTTTCTTTTTCTACACTTTACCTTCATATTGTTGATTTCATTTGAAAGTTTAAAAAATTTAAATTCTTTTTATTAACTTTTGAATTGAAGTCACGATAGTACGTGTGTTGTTGTAAATAATGGTTTTAAAAATAAGATTGAATATCGAAACAAATACATTGTAATGAAAAAAAGATGAAAATAACAAATAAGAAAAGAAAAGGTTTTCAAACATAAATTTTCTTATCATATATTAAAAAAGCAATACTAATTTATTTTTTTAAATTAATGGTTTCGAAAGTAGCCTATACTCACTTTTAAATTATATATACCAGACAAGGAATGCCTTCATTTATATATTTTTTAATTCGACTGACCAACCTTAGGCTCTCCCTTCATTTTTGTAAAGCTTCGTTTTGCAATATACCAGACTTTACTCAAAATATATAACTAAAATAAAGGGCAAGTCTTTGTCAATGTGTTACTTTAGTTGTAAGATATTTGTCTTGTAACCTCGAGGTACGAAGTTTAACTTCTTCCAACATAATTTTAAATTAACTATTAAAATTAATTTAATAAATAAAAAATATTTTTTTAACCGTACTATACTATTAGAAAAAACTTATATTTAACATGATATTATATCTAAATAATAATTAAACAACTAATTAAATTGTATTTGTTAAGTGTATTTAGTCTGATTATTTTAAATGTATTATTGTGTACAGGTCAAAAAACTTATTATTGTGATTTGTTTTATATAAATTAAATTTTATTTTTTTTATGATATAAAAAATTTAATTAGTTAATATGGTCAAGATTGAGTCTCATCTTATGTATCTATAAATAATAGACATGTGTAAATCCTAATATGTTATTTATACAAGATGGCTACTGTAAAGGTTTCTGCTCTCATAATGATATACTTATTCGCTTTCTGCATCTTCACATCAGGTTTAAAACCTATGAGAAATTTATAAAAAAAACGTCTTTTCTATATGTTGTAATCTTTACATACAAAATTGATAAAATATTTTCAAACATTGTTTGTATATGCAGATATGTGCATAAAATCAGAAGCAGCTTGTACTGAAGATGTAGATTGTCAAGCTGGATGTCATGGAAAACAAGGGCAATGTATTCGTGGAAGATGTTGGTGTATTGGTTCAAAATCTTTAGATGATATTACTCCAGAATTAATACCTTCAATTGAAAACTAAGTAAATGATATTGTAATACAATCATCGTTTTTGAATAAAAATAATGTCAAAGAATAAAACTTATAATATAAATGGATATAAGTTAAAACCTTTTTAAATAAAAGATCTAGCTAAATTCTTATATTTTGTCTATCTTGAGAGATACTTCTATCACTATAAAAAATTTGTTTACAATTTTTATTTAAATGATTTTTCTATTTTAATAATAATAATTATTATTATTAATTGAAGAAAATTAGTAATTTATTATATATTAATAAAAAGGTGTATAATATTTAAACTTTGAATATAAATAATATGACTTGTATCTTACGAAATCAGTCCAATTTGCAAAAGACCTAAGATAAATCTATTACTTCATATTTAAGACTAAATAAATTATAAAATAACCAATATGATGATTTAATACACTAGTAAAATGTAATATGTACATTTAACGAAAAGTTTTTAATAATTATTATTTGACTAGGATTTTTTATCTTTTCCTAGTTTTTAATGTTTAAGGTGACAATAGAGATCATGTAGCAATTTAGATTTATTTTTTTCATTGATTTTTATATTCGGACAACAATCTCTTTGATATAGTTAAAGAAAAAGGTAAGGTATGGTATACATAAATGGTAAAACAATCGATCTTAAAAATAAGTTTGAGTTCTTTTTTTTAATGATATGATCAACACTTTTAACACTAACAAAGAATTCAAATAATATATGTTTATAAATATTTTGGGTACGCAAGTTCACTAATTTTGTAAGAAATCAATTTTTACATTTACATCGTTAACAACATATTGTAAGAAGATCTACTTATCATATGTTTTAGGGCTCGTTGTGTCAAATTTAAATGATATTTTTTATAGGTCGCATGGATTCAGAAATTTCATATTCAATAAGTTTTATCTGCTTAACCGGCTCAATTATGCTAGTAGTTACTTGAATTCTCTATTACGCTCTTTTTCTCACTTACATGCCAGTAGATAAATGAAACCATTAAACTATTGTTTTAGCACCTGGTTATTTAGTGTTTTCTCTACTTTAACCAATATATTCATTTTTGTGTTTTTATCTTTGTTATCTTAATTTTTTTATTGGAACAAATATTATCTAAAAGAAGAATAAGTGAGTCATCGATAAAAAAATAATGTTAATGAATATAATGGTAGAATAACATGTTCTTCGATTGTACTTTTTTTAAAATTGTTTATGAATAAACTTATAACTAGTATATAAAGAGGCTATAATCCATTTCCATATTTATATTACTTAACTAGTTGGGATGAGCCTTACTAGAAGTATGCAACGAACAAGACCGTTTAGTACTTACGCAGGTGTTGAGGGAATTCTTCCAAAGTGTTGTTTTATGATCAAAACTCTATGTATTTTACGATTTTTATTAGGTTTGAGTGTTGATCCTCTTATTTTAATAGGCATGGTAGCTACCTCGAACCTGGTTAGGGAGTCTAAAGTGGCACAATAATACATATAATATTCATATCACTTCCTTCCGTAAAAGGGAAAATGTGAAGGAGGAAGCTGATTACTTTTCTGTGTTATGACTATGATATTAGGGTTATTTGTGTTCGCAGGCTTGGGCTCTAGAATAAAGGTGTGTAATCAGGGATTAAGGCATAGGCTCGTGCACTTTTAAATTTACTTTCAAATTCATAATTTTTATGCTAAGGCACAAATCCAAAAATATGAGACGTGTAAAACTGAAAAGCATAACGCTACATTAGAAGAAATGTTAAATTACTTATAATTTTACTAGTCGTGATATAGTTGTCACTATTATTATTAAGTAGAAATAATATAGTAATCGTTAAATTGAGGGTGAATGTGAGGATGTTATATGGATCCTTTTTAACTTTTGCCCGTTGCCACATACTTGATAAACATCAAATACAACCTTTCATATATCTTTTTTTCTTTTTCTACACTTTACCTTCATATTGTTGATTTCATTTGAAAGTTTAAAAAATTTAAATTCTTTTTATTAACTTTTGAATTGAAGTCACGATAGTACGTGTGTTGTTGTAAATAATGGTTTTAAAAATAAGATTGAATATCGAAACAAATACATTGTAATGAAAAAAAGATGAAAATAACAAATAAGAAAAGAAAAGGTTTTCAAACATAAATTTTCTTATCATATATTAAAAATGCAATACTAATTTATTTTTTTTAAATTAATGGTTTCGAAAGTAGCCTATACTCACTTTTAAATTATATATATATATATATATATATATATATATATATATATATATATATATATATATATATATATATATATATATATATATATATATATATATATATATATATATATATATATATATATATATATATATATATATATATATATATATATATATATATATATATATATATATATATATATATATATATATATATATATATATATATATATATATATATATATATATATATATATATATATATATATATATATATATCCATTTCTAATGGCTATAGGAAGGATTTGGTATAAAATAGACTAGGAATGCCTTCATTTATATTCTTTTTAATTCGACGGACCAACCTTAGGCTCTCCCTTCATTTTTGTAAAGCTTCGTTTTGCAATATACCATACTTTACTCAAAATATATAACTAAAATAAAGGGCAAGTTTTTGACAATGTGTTACTTTAGTTGTAAGATATTTGTCTTGTAACCTCGAGGTACGAAGTTTAACTTCTTCCAACATAATTTTAAATTAACTATTAAAATTAATTTAATAAATAAAAAATATTTTTTTAACCGTATTATACTATTAGAAAAAACTTATATTTAACATGATATTATATCTAAATAATAATTAAACAACTAATTAAATTGTATTTTTTGAGTGTATTTAGTCTGATTATTTTAAATGTATTATTGTGTACATGTCAAAAAACTTATTATTGTGATTTGTTTTATATAAATTAAATTTTATTTTTTTAATGATATAAAAAATTTAATTAGTTAATATTGTCAAGATTGAGTCTCATCTTATGTATCTATAAATAATAGACATATGTAAATCCTAATATGTTATTTATACAAGATGGCTACTGTAAAGGTTTCTGCTCTCATAATGATATACTTATTCGCTTTCTACATCTTCACATCAGGTTTAAAACCTATGAGAAATTTATAAAAAAAACGTCTTTTCTATATGTTGTAATCTTTACATACAAAATTGATAAGATATTTTCAAACATTGTTTGTATATGCAGATATGTGCATGAAATCAGAAGCAGCTTGTACTGAAGATGTAGATTGTCAAGCTGGATGTCATGGAAAACAAGGGCAATGTATTCGTGGAAGATGTTGGTGTATTGGTTCAAAATCTTTAGATGATATTACTCCAGAATTAATACCTTCAATTGAAAACTGAGTAAATGATATTGTAATACAATCATCGTTTTTGAATAAAAATAATGTCAAAGAATAAAATTTATAATATAAATGGATATAAGTTAAAACCTTTTTAAATAAAAGATCTAGCTAAATTCTTATATTTTGTCTATCTTCAGAGATACTTCTATCACTATAAAAAATTTGTTTACAATTTTTATTTAAATGATTTTTCTATTTTAATAATAATAATTATTATTATTAATTTAAGAAAATTAGTAATTTATTATATATTAATAAAAAGGTGTATAATATTTAAACTTTGAATACAAATAATATGACTTGTATCTTACGAAATCAGTCCAATTTGCAAAAGACCTAAGATAAATCCATTACTTCATATTTATGACTAAATAAATTATAAAATAACCAATATGATGATTTAATACACTAGTAAAATGTAATATGTACATTTAACAAAAAGTTTTTAATAATTATTATTTGACTAGGATTTTTTATCTTTTCCTAGTTTTTAATGTTTAAGGTGACAATAGAGATCATGTAGCAATTTAGATTTATTTTTTTCATTGATTTTTATATTCGGACAACAATCTCTTTGATATGATTAAAGAAAAAGGTAAGGTATGGTATACATAAATGGTAAAACAATCGATCTTAAAAATAAGTTTGAATTCTTTTTTTAATGATATGATCAACACTTTTAACACTAACAAAGAATTCAAATAATATATGTTTATAAATATTTTGGGTACGCAAGTTCACTAATTTTGTAAGAAATCAATTTTTACATTTACATCGTTAACAACATATTGTAAGAAGATCTACTTATCATATGTTTTAGGGCTCGTTGTGTCAAATTTAAATGATATTTTTTATAGGTCGCATGGATTCAGAAATTTCATATTCAATAAGTTTTATCTGCTTAACCGGCTCAATTATGCTAGTAGCTACTTGAATTCTCTATTACGCTCTTTTTCTCACTTACATGCCAGTAGATAAATGAAACCATTAAACTATTGTTTTAGCACCTGGTTATTTAGTGTTTTCTCTACTTTAACCAATATATTCATTTTTGTGTTTTTATCTTTGTTATCTTAATTTTTTTATTGGAACAAATATTATCTAAAAGAAGAATAAGTGAGTCATCGATAAAAAAATAATGTTAATGAATATAATGGTAGAATAACATGTTCTTCGATTGTACTTTCTTTAAAATTGTTTATGAATAAACTTATAACTAGTATATAAAGAGGCTATAATCCATTTCCATATTTATATTACTTAACTAGTTGGGATGAGCCTTACTAGAAGTATGCAACGAACAAGACCGTTTAGTACTTACGCAGGTGTTGAGGGAATTCTTCCAAAGTGTTGTTTTATGATCAAAACTCTATGTATTTTACGATTTTTATTAGGTTTGAGTGTTGATCCTCTTATTTTAATAGGCATGGTAGCTACCTCGAACCTGGTTAGGGAGTCTAAAGTGGCACAATAATACATATAATATTCATATCACTTCCTTCCGTAAAAGGGAAAATGTGAAGGAGGAAGCTGATTACTTTTCTGTGTTATGACTATGATATTAGGGTTATTTGTGTTCGCAGGCTTGGGCTCTAGAATAAAGGTGTGTAATCAGGGATTAAGGCATAGGCTCGTGCACTTTTAAATTTACTTTCAAATTCATAATTTTTATGCTAAGGCACAAATCTAAAAATATGAGACGTGTAAAATTGAAAAGCATAACGCTACATTAGAAGAAATGTTAAATTACTTATAATTTTACTAGTCGTGATATAGTTGTCACTATTATTATTAAGTAGAAATAATATAGTAATCGTTAAATTGAGGGTGAATGTGAGGATGTTATATGGATCCTTTTTAACTTTTGCCCGTTGCCACATCCTTGATAAACATCAAATACAACCTTTCATATATCTTTTTTCTTTTTCTACACTTTACCTTCATATTGTTGATTTCATTTGAAAGTTTAAAAAATTTAAATTCTTTTTATTAACTTTTGAATTGAAGTCACGATAGTACGTGTGTTGTTGTAAATAATGGTTTTAAAAATAAGATTGAATATCGAAACAAATACATTGTAATGAAAAAAAGATGAAAATAACAAATAAGAAAAGAAAAGGTTTTCAAACATAAATTTTCTTATCATATATTAAAAAAGCAATACTAATTTATTTTTTTAAATTAATGGTTTCGAAAGTAGCCTATACTCACTTTTAAATTATATATATATATATATATATATATATATATATATATATATATATATATATATATATATATATATATATATATATATATATATATATATATATATCCATTTCTAATGGCTATAGGAAGGATTTGGTATAAAATAGACTAGGAATGCCTTCATTTATATTTTTTTTAATTCGACGGACCAACCTTAGGCTCTCCCTTCATTTTTGTAAAGCTTCGTTTTGCAATATACCAGACTTTACTCAAAATATATAACTAAAATAAAGGGCAAGTTTTTGACAATGTGTTACTTTAGTTGTAAGATATTTGTCTTGTAACCTCGAGGTACGAAGTTTAACTTCTTCCAACATGATTTTAAATTAACTATTAAAATTAATTTAATAAATAAAAAATAATTTTTTAACCGTATTATACTATTAGAAAAAACTTATATTTAACATGATATTATATCTAAATAATAATTAAACAACTAATTAAATTGTATTTTTTGAGTGTATTTAGTCTGATTATTTTAAATGTATTATTGTGTACATGTCAAAAAACTTATTATTGTGATTTGTTTTATATAAATTAAATTTTATTTTTTTTATGATATAAAAAATTTAATTAGTTAATATGGTCAAGATTGAGTCTCATCTTATGTATCTATAAATAATAGACATATGTAAATCCTAATATGTTATTTATACAAGATGGCTACTGTAAAGGTTTCTGCTCTCATAATGATATACTTATTCGCTTTCTGCATCTTCACATCAGGTTTAAAACCTATGAGAAATTTATTAAAAAAACGTCTTTTCTATATGTTGTAATCTTTACATACAAAATTGATAAAATATTTTCAAACATTGTTTGTATATGCAGATATGTGCATGAAATCAGAAGCAGCTTGTACTGAAGATGTAGATTGTCAAGCTGGATGTCATGGAAAACAAGGGCAATGTGTTCGTGGAAGATGTTGGTGTATTGGTTCAAAATCTTTAGATGATATTACTCCAGAATTAATACCTTCAATTGAAAACTGAGTAAATGATATTGTAATACAATCATCGTTTTTGAATAAAAATAATGTCAAAGAATAAAATTTATAATATAAATGGATATAAGTTAAAACCTTTTTAAATAAAAGATTTAGCTAAATTCTTATATTTTGTCTATCTTCAGAGATACTTCTATCACTATAAAAAATGTGTTTACAATTTTTATTTAAATGATTTTTCTATTTTAATAATAATAATTATTATTATTAATTTAAGAAAATTAGTAATTTATTATATATTAATAAAAAGGTGTATAATATTTAAACTTTGAATATAAATAATATGACTTGTATCTTAC